CAAATGGGGCCACAAGTGGGCATGCATCACTACTGCAAGTGTGGTGTATGTGCATACGCACACACACACACACGTGCACTGGTCAGTCACTCATGCAGCCCGGTAGCCAACAGGCCACAGCCCGGTATGGGCCGTAGTCCACAGGTTGGCGACTCCTGGGATAGACAGAGAAACGAAACTTCTAAATGGGTTAGACGGAGAAATGAAACTTCTAGGATTCTGCTGAAGGCCGTGGGAGCCTGAAATCTGTTCAAGGACATCATAACAGGTGTGGAGTTGAAGCGGATGGTTCCCGTAACTAAGAGAACTTGTTTACATAGAATAAGTGAGATGTTGGGGGTTTGGGCTTGGAAAAGTATTGTTTTGTTCTATGGACTGGGGTTTGGGAACCTCAGAGTTAGCTTTGCCTCGACATTACCATGCTGCATACTCAATAAACGGTAAGATTTTCGGAAACGAAATGATCCTGGGCTTTTATTTGGATTCATGAGCTGGATGTTGAGACTCTGTCCTTCCCAAGGACAGTCTGGGTTAAGGTTGGTTTCCTTTAGGTTCTGTGCTTTGTGGGGCATGCTTAATTCTCACTTTGATCCGATTGGAGAGGCTCTGGGTCTCTCCTCTGCCTTCAGGTTGTCTGTGAGCTCAGCTGCGCTCATAACAATTTCATATTAATAGCTGGGGGGGGAGGAATGCATAAGAGAAAGAGCAGTTTAACTGCAAAGCAAAAGCTCTCTGCGTTCTCAAAATTAGCAGGTGCAGATCAAAAGTTACAGATCTCTCTTTGCCATTCTGGAGTTGCAGTGTAGGACATTAAAAAAATAACAACAATGCTTCAAGGATTTATTCCATCTGTGGAGTCCTTAGTGTCCTCAGAGCTCAGTTCTTTGCTTACAGACATTTCGTTACCCATCTATGTAACCTCATCAGTGCTAGAGAGTGTGGAGTTTGCTCCTTGGCAACATCAAAGGAAAAAAACAAACCTAATATCACTCAAAAGTCAACGGGGAAGCTAGATTCGCTTAATAACCACATTGCTAACTTAACAACTGCAGTAATTCCCTAGCAACTACAATAGTGGCCAAAATTGTGGAAAACTTTTGGGAAAAGTGTATTTTCTAAAACTAGCTAATAACCCCACTTTTTCTTGGAGTAGCACATAAAATTATATATCAATGGAGAGATAATGTATTCAAGAATGCAATGCAACAACTTTTATGAAGGATTTGCTATTAGAATAGCAGTTACAGTACAAAGAAGGAAAGTGAAACACGTAGAAAAAAATGAGATATGCAAAAATCACCGTAGAAAGAACAAGATATACAAAAATTATCACCATGTCAGTTAATACTTAGTTGGGTAACCTTTAGCATGAATTACGGCCTTATCACGTCTTCCCATGAAGTGAACCAAGTCTTTTCGTTCTGCAGCTGTTATAATGTGAAACCAAGATTGAATGATGGCTTCTATTAACTGGGTTTTCAATTGGTTTAAGGACCGGGCTATTCCCAGGCCATTCCAGCAGTGGAATAAGATTATCTTGAAACTCAAAAAAAAAAAAAAAAAGTGGTGCTATTAGCCATCAAATCACAAAAATAAACTTTCCCCAAAACTTTTCCACAATTTTGACCACTACTGTATGGTGAGAAAGGTTGTAAAACGAGGCAAAACTCACGTCACGAGTGTCTCGCTCAGCAACCGTCGAGGGCTCCATTATGGATGGATATCGGAGCCTTCTCGCATACCCTGCGCTATCCTTTGTGACTAAATGCAAGAACAGCACACTCCATCCATGCATGCTTCGCAAAAAGCCTTCTTCTCTTTTGAAATGATTTCTTAGGCTGGAGGTCAACCGCTGAGGGCAAAACCAAACAAATAAACAAACCAGAACACAACTCTCTGACCGCTATTTTGCCAATTACCCACCTGAGCCACAATTCAGCTGGAGGCAACCTTGTGGCAGCTATGTTTAGAAAGCTTCCCGAAAACGTTGACTGCCCAGATCCAATTCTTTGAATCTGGGATAGTCAGAAGGAAGGTTTTCACACTCAGGCAAAGCGTACAACAGTGTACAGGTAGCTTTCAACGAAGAACAGGTCGCTTAGTGACCATTCAAACGGCACCAGAGGTGGGTTTCAGCAGGTTCTGACCAATTCTGGAGAACCGGTAGTGAAAGGTTTGAGGTAGTTCGGAGAACCAGTAGTAAAAATTCTGACTGGCCCTGCCCCCATCTATTCTCTGCCTCCCGAGTCCCAGCTGATCGGGAGGAAATGGGGATTTTGTAGTATCCTTCCCCTGGATTGGGGAGGTAATGGAGATTTTACAGTATCCTTCCCCTGGAGTGGGGAGGTAATGGAGATTTTGCAGTATCCTTCCCCTGGATTGGGGAGGTAATGGAGATTTTGCAGTATCCTTCCCCTGGAGTGGGGATGTAATGGAGATTTTACAGTATCCTTCCCCTGGAGTGGGGTGGGAATGGAGATTTTACAGTATTCTTCTCCTGCCACGCCTATTTAGCCACGCCCACCAAGCCATGCCATGCCCACCAAGCCACGCCCACAGAACCGGTAGTAAAAAAATTTGAAACCCGCCACTGAACGGCACTGAAAAAAAGCGACTTAGGACCATTTTTCACACTTATGACCATTGAAGTTTCCCCATGGCCACCTTATTTGCATTTGGATGCTTGACAACTGACTCACATTTATGACAGTTGCAGTGTCCCGGGCAGAGGTGGGCTTCATATAATTTAACAACAGGTTCAACCAGAATCGAATATGTCAGTGCGCGTGCCTTGCACACATGTGCACTGTGTCAAAAACACGGCAATTGTATAAGACGGGATAGGGCTGTGACGAGGGTGCAGGCCCAGCCACTGGCCGTAACTACCGGTTTGCTCAAACCATTCCGAACCGGCTGAATCCCATCCCTGACAAGCCAAGTCCATGGGGAAACCAGTTTCACTTAACAGCCGTGTTACTAATTGAAACAACTGCGGTGATTCTCTTCACAAATGTGGCAAGGAAAGCGGTCAACTCACTTCACCAAATTTCTCACTTGGCAACATAAACAGTTGGGCTCAACTGTGGTCGTACGTTGAAAACTATCCTTTACAACAGAGTCTCCATCAGTAGTCTCTTCTTAAAAACTTCCAGTGTTGGAGCATTCACAACTTCTGAAGGCAAATCGTTCCACTGATTAATTGTTCTCACTGTCAGGAAATTTCTCCTTAATTCTAGGTTGGTTCTCTCTTTGATAAACTTCCCTCCGTTACTTCTTGTCCTGCCTTCAGGTGCTTTAGAGCAGGGGTCTCCAGCCTTGGCAACTTTAAGACTTGTGGACTTCAACTCCCAGAATTCTGGGAGTTGAAGTCCACAAGTCTTAAAGTTGCCAAGGTTGGAGACCCCTGCTTTAAAGTAGACATGTTAGCTTATCTGTGATAGGAATCTAGTAAAGAAAGAAATACATTGCAGGTAGAACTTATCTTACAACCATTCATTTGGCAGCCCTTCAAATTTACGACAACCTGAAGAAAGTTACTTACAAGCAGTTCAGACACTTGCAAGCTTTGAGGAAATCAGGAAGTGAGGCCTAATTTGGCTAGTTGCATGGAGTGGGGTGGGGTTAATCCTAGGACAGGATTTTTCCAACCTTGGCAACTTTATGATGGGTGTCCCAAAGGTGTTTTTTTCCCCAAGTGGACTTTCTCGTTATTCACTGAAGACGTTTCGCTTCTCATCCAGGAAGCTTCTTCAGCTCAGAAGAAGAGCCGAAGAAGCTTCTTGGATGAGAAGCGAAACATCTTCAAGGAAAAAACCAGAAAGTCCAGTTGCCCCTTGAAAAAAAAAAGCACCTGTTAAGGATATTCTTGGCTCATAACCGATGTTGTAGGATATTGAGCAGAGTACCCTTTGAGTAAACACATGAAAAGCGACTGGGAGTGGTTGTGAATAATCACAGTCAACATACAAACACACTGAGTTGTTGTAGTCTTTTACTTTTTGAAAAAGTAAAGCAAAGTCCAAAAACAATCCAAGTCATACACAGATAAGACGAGAGGTAAAAAATCAATCCAGGGATATTTCAAGTACAAAGTCTTCTTACCAGTTGTAGTCATACACAATAAAACAGTTCTTCTTGAGTTTCAGAACAGGAACAAGTTCAATATTTATTTATTTATTTATTGGTTCGATTTATATGCCGCCCTTCTCCGGAGACTCAGGGCGGCTTACAATGCATTAAGAAATAGCCTTCATACTTTTGTATATACCTGCTTAGTAGGGCTTTTGCCCCCCCCCACAAGCGGTGTTCTTTTTTTTTATACAAAGTCAGCTTATTGCCCCCACAATCTGGGTCCTCATTTTACCTACCTTGGAAGGATGGAAGGCTGAGTCAACCTTGAGCCTGGTGAGATTTGAACTTGCAGTAATTGCAGGCAGCGGGTGCTACTTGACAGCACTTTAGTCTGCTGCACCACCAAGGCTCTTTTCAAAACATTCAATAAATAGTGGAAAGCAACATGTAGCTATGTTCAAACAGTGATCATGCAGAGAGATCAGGTAGAGAGTTACAGCAAATAAGCAGGTAAAATGGTGTAGTATCCACACAAGCCATGATCCTGACTTCCCTTAAGTACATTGGCTACAGAGCTTAGCCAATCAGGATACAGGATGATGCAATACAGTCTTAAAGCAATATACTACCTTTCTGACTGCAAACATACATTGTTGGTTTATATATTGCCTGACCAACTAGTTAAGACAAATAACCATTTCCTAACAGCACCTTTGGGACAACTGTGATCTGGATGACTTGAGAATCTCCATAGACGTTGAAGAACGGTGGACCTCAACTCCCAGAATGCCCCAGACAGCCATTCTGGGAGTTGAAGTCCACCTGCCTTAAAGTTGCCAAGGTTGAGAAATACGACTTTAGGGGATTGCTCTCTGTCTCCTTCTTGTGGCGCCCCCGAGGTTGACCTCACTCTCTGCTCTCCCCTGCAGTGGCTGTGGACAATACGTTGCACGTGGAGTGGAACGAGGCGAAATCCCTGCCTGCCCTCTCATCTTTGGGCCACACTCGGACCTCACTGGTGCGCAGGTTGGTTCGTCAGAGCTCTGTGGACAGCCAGGACTTTCTTGAGGTGCCTGTTTTAATTGCTCTCTTTCTAGGCCCACTGGTTATTTTATTTTTTTTGCCTGGGGTGCCACGAGTACGGTGATTCAACCAGGGGGTATTTTTTTATAGAAGCAACGAATCCTAGCGTTGGAAGGGGCCACGAAGGTCTCATCTAGTAGTCCAACCCCTGCTCAGGGCAGGGGTCCAAGTTGAAGGTGCCTCAACAGAGGGCTCTCAGCTTGAATGTCTCCATCCAAGGGAGCTCACCAGCTTTCTTGGCTGGGCTTTCTACCGTCCTGTTGGCCTTGGTCCCTGGTTAATTGTCCTCACTGTTAGAAAGTTTCTCCTCAATTCCAGGTTGCTTTTCTCCTTGGTTAGTTTCCATCCATTGTTTCTCTGGTGCTTTGGAAAATAAGTTGATTCCTTCTTCTTTGCGGGAACCCCTCAGATCCTGGAAGACTGCTATCATGTCATCCCTGGTCCTTCTTTTCTCTAGCCTGGCAATACCCAATTCCTGCATCCGTTCTTCATATATTTTAGTCTCCAAGCCTTTAATCATCTTAGTTGCTCTTCTTTGAACTTTTCTTGCTTTCTGGTGCTTTGGAGAATAATTTGACCCCCTCTTCTTTGTGGCAGCCCTTCAAATACTGGAATACTGCTATCATGTCACCCACTAATCCTTCTGTTTGAGAAAGTTGCATAACGTTCTCAGAGACTCTTCCCATCCTGCTTACGATCTTTTTGGACTGTTGCCTTCTGGCAGAAGATACAGAACAACTAAAACTTGGACCACACGTTTTCTGAATAGTTTTTATCCCAGAGCTATAATTGCACTCAACAATGAACTAAAGAGCCACCATCAGTGAGCTGTTGGACAATATTACTTGGTCTGTTGTGTGGATGTTTGGGTGGTTTAGGGGTGGGGAAAATGTGTGGTGGGTGGGAGTGTGTTTGGGGATTGTTATGTGTGTTGGACCTGCTCTTTGGGTGTTAAGTGAATTTCGTTGTATGGGTATACTGTGTATACACGTACAATGACAATAAAGTTATTTACTTATTTATTTATTTTATTTATTTTTCGCTAGACTGGCCAAACCCAAATCCTGCTACTGTTCTTCATAGGATTTAGTCCCCAAGCCTTTCATCATCTTAGTTGCTCTTCTTTGCACTTTTTCCAAAGTCTCAACATCTTTTTTTATAACGCGGGGACCAAAACTGGATGCAAGCAGGGTGTCAACTTGCAAAGCTTTCAAGTTGCCATGAGCAGGAGGGAGGGAGAACTGAAGTGAATTCCATACATTCTTTCTGACCGCAATCAGAAGGAGGGTGTTAGGTTTCATAGCCAGCCAAAGTGGTTAACTGGAGAATGTGATTTATGACATGGCCAGAGAGGAGGGGAGAGACAGGGTCATAGGGGAACGTAAATCTACATAGGATCAGTCCTAACTGCATCCGAGTATTGCCGGAATGTTGCTCCTAATAAATGGCTATATTTCCTTTGAAGTTTGGATCATGGCTCATGAATTAATTAGGGCATCTTTCGGAAACTTGACACAGGGCCTTGGTCACTAAACGAGTGGTTGTAAGTCAAGGACTTCCTGTATATCACGGGTTTCAAACTCACCGCGTCATGTTGCTGTCACGTGACGTATCGCGGCATTTTTTTCCCTTTGTGGAGCTGGGGCGGGCATGGCTTGTGCGTGACACATCTGGCTCTTGGGCCGCCATTTTGACACCTCTGCTGTATATGGACGTGTGTGTGTGTGTGTATGTGTATGTGTAATTAGGGTGAAAAGTAGTCCATGTTTGCATTCCCGCAGCAATTCCTTCAGGATTCAGATTTAGTATGAATATATTATCCCATACAGCCGTGATGGCGAACCTATGGCACACGTGCCACAGGTGGCACACGGAGCCATATCTGTGGGCACGCGAGCATTGCTCTACCTCAGCTCCAGCATGCAAGCATGCGCTGGCCAGCTGATTATCAGGCCTTCCGGTCCCACCGGAAGTCGGGAAACGGGCCCTTTTAGGCCTCTGGAGGGCCTGTACAGGGGTGGGGAAGGCTGTTTTTGCCCTCCCCAGACTCCAAGAAAGCCTCTGGAGCCTGGGGAAGGCGAAAAATGGGCCTAGCGGGCCCACCGGGGGGAGTGCAGGGGGGTTGTGCTTGCATGTATGGGGGGAGGGGCACATTGAATTATGGGTACGGACACACACACACACAACCCCTCCACACTCCCCCCACTTTTGGCACGCGACGGCAAAAAGGTTAGCCATCACCGACCTATAAGGTCCCTCCCAACTCTGTTAATCTGTTACACAGACCAATCTGTTCTGTGACATACTGTAATTCTGCGCCTTGGTGGTGCAGCAGACTAAAACACTGTTAAGTAACACCAGCTGCCTGCAATTACTGCGAGTTCAAATCTCACCAGGCTCAGGGTTGACTCAGCCTTCCATCCTTCCAAGGTAGGTAAAATGAGGACCCGGATTGTGGGGGCAATAAGCTGACTTTGTATAAAAAAAGAACACCGCTTGGGGGGGGGCGAAAGCCCTACTAAGCAGGTATATACAAAAGTATGAAGGCTATTGCTTAACGCATTGTAAGCCGCCCTGAGTCTCCGGAGAAGGGCGGCATATAAATTGAACCAATAATAAATAAATAAATAAATTCCAGCCTGGGTATCTGTAGGGTTAGGTCAAAAAGAAGATAATTCAAAATGGTAGCCAAGATGGCACCTCTGGTTCTCCACCCTTTATTAATGGGCCTCACACATATATAAACAAGCACAATTTCAAGTGCATTTTCACCATCTTGACTTTTCTGACTGCAGTTTCTTCAGGAATCCGAGTTTCCCTAACAGATCTGCTTCTTTATCCTCACCATATCGGATTAGATATTTCTTGCTGGTTGGAGATGCCATGATGGAGGACAATATTAGGGGACTGGAGTCCAAAACATATGAAGAACATATGAAGAACATATGAAGAACATATGAAGAACAGAGCATGTCTACTTTAATGAAAAGAAAGACTAGGGGTGACATGATAGCAGTGTTCGAATATTTGAAGGGTTACCACAAAAAAGAGGGGGACGACCTATTCTCCAAAGCCCCTGAAGGCAGGACAAGAAGCAATGGATGGAAACTATTCAAGGAGACAACCAACTTAGAATTAAGGAGTAATTTCCTGGCAGTTAGAACAATTAATCAGTGGAACGACTTGCCACCAGAAGTTATGGATGTTCCAGCACTGGAGGTTTTTAAGAAGAGATTGGACAAGCATCTGTCTGAAATAGTATAGGACAATGACGGCTAACCTTTTTGCTGTTGCGTGCCAAACGTGGGGAAGAGCGTGGGGAAGTCGCCCACGTGTGTGCGCACACGCATAATTCAATGCCCCCCACACATGCATGTGCGTGTCCTCTCCGCTTTTGACACGCGATGGCATGGTGGGCCTGGTAGGCCCATTTTTCACCCTCCCCAGGCTCCAGAGCCTTTCTAGGAGCCTGGGGAGGGTGAAAACAGCCTTCCCCACCACCCCCGGAGGCCCTCCGGAGGCCGGAAACAGCCCATTTCCTAACTTCCGGTGGGACCCAAAAATCAACTGGCCGGTGGACATATGCGCGCTGGAGCTGAGCTGCGGCAATGCTCGCGTGCCCACTGATATGGCTCCGTGTGCCATCTGTGGCACCCGTGCCATAGGTTCGTCATCACGGGTATAGGGTTTCCTGCCTAAGCAGAGGGTTGGACTAGAAGACCTCCAAGGTCCCTTCCAACTCTGTTATTCTGTTAATATGTCTGCTGAAGACTTTCATTTTATTTTATTCCTTTTATTTGGAGGGCCGACGGTGCAGCTGTGGTGAGCCCAGGGCATTTTAGGGGAAGGAAAGCCAACTATGGAACCCAGCCAGATGTCAGAAAAGATCTTCATTCCAGATGTTCTGTTTTCTCCAGAAACCACCCAATGCCTGATATTAACAGCTTGTTTTTTTGCAGCCCCTGAAGATGCTGTCTTTCAAATCCTGGGATTAATTCAATTACCCCACTCCGGGTGGTCTCTGCTCTTGGCACTCAAAAGGAAATAGCTAATAAATCGAAATAGTAGCTTTTTTGTTTTTTTACTTGGTCTGGCTGGAATTACGGCATTTCCGAGAGGTTACAATCACACGGCTCATGGTGAGATGGGGTGTCACGGTGTGACGGCTCACGGTGTGATGCCGCGGCTCAGTGGCTAAGACGCTGAGCTTGTCGATCGAAAGGTCGGCAGTTCAGCGGTTCGAATCCCTAGTGCCGCCTAACGGGGTGAGCTCCCATTACTTGTCCCAGCTTCTGCCAACTGAGCAGTTCGAAAGCACGTTAAAAATGCAAGTGGAAAAATAGGGACCACCTTTGGTGGGAAGGTAACAACGTTCCGTGCACCTTTGGCGTTGAGTCATGCCGGCCACGTGACCACGGAGACGTCTTCGGAAAGTGCTGGCTCTTCGGCTTTGAAATGGAGATGAGCAGTGACCCCTAGAGTTGGGAACAACTAGCACATATGTGCGAGGGGAACCTTTACCTTTTACAATCACACGGCAGCCAGGGAGCCCAGCAGGTTGCCAACTAACCAAAGAAACAACTGGTTGACCTGTTCCTCTGCTATTTGCATCTGTTGGGCCTTTGAAACTAGCAGGTGGCATTTCACTTGGCGCTGGAAGCAGGCATGAACATCTGCTCCCCTTAAAGCGGAGGAGAGGGAGAGATTTATTCAGTGATCATTTCGCTGCCAACTTCTTGAATTTCTAATTTTTGAGCCATATGGTCAAATTTAGCTGTGATTTGTCGTTCTCCAAACTTCGTGTTGTGATTCTCCCACGTCACAATCAGGCATATTTGAGAAAAGCCGGTCACTCTGCTGAACGACTAATTCCCACAACGCTGTCAAACTATTTACGAAGACTGTATTACTAATCATCTTCTCATCCTTCCTATTACCTATCACCTCCAGTGAGGGGTTGGACCGGTTCGGGTGAATCGGTAGTTG